TGTATAATTTTATTTATGAGAGCTTATAAACCATATTATAATAAATGTGTAAACATGCTTGTTGTTTTTTTGCTCCATAGCTTATATAGGACAATGTGCATGTATAATGTACAGCTTTCAAGTATTATATTAAAATGATGCCCAATCAAATTTCAAAGACAACAAAGAACAAAGCAATAACTGCTACAACTGCAACCTATTGTACTTTTTTTTTTTTTAGCTCAGCTAAATTCCAGTTCATCATATGACTGGACAATGATAATGAATTTATTTCCTATCTAAGCATATAATTAATAACTAAACCTGGATAAAATTTATATCCTATGTAACCAAAGAAATGACTGGCCCTGGATAACAAATTCTTCTCTAGTGTTTCTATTTACTATGTGCTATTATGCATTTACTGTGCATTGTAACATCACATTACTCATGTCCTTCAAACTAATTTAAAAACTCTGTGTACCCAAATTCACACCAGGCTTGCTAACCAACATATCTGATGTTAAAAGTTAGATGCATGGGTAATAATGGACTTTATCAGGGGGAGAAAAATGCATATTATTTTTTTTTTTAAATGAATTAGGTAATTTATAATGTTTAAGACATGTAGACAATGTTTCCAGAAAATACAAAGTCATGACAAGGCTTCTATGTTGTTGAGTTTTACTAATCATGGCTAATATTATGCCATGTTGTAAAAGGATGGGACAATTTTAAAGTTTCACAGTGTACAATTTTAAGAGGATAAAAATGATTAATTTAAATGGAACAATATCAACACAATCTTTTCCACCAAAGTAATAACTATTAATTTGTAACAAAGAACAACTATATTTTTTTTCTCGATAAGACTTTCACTCTTCATAATTTATGCAGGGACCTATATACTTATAAGTTTATTGGTCTCTGATTTATGCAAATGTTGATGCTCAAAGAATTTATTTCAGAATTCTGTAAATTAATTAACATTTTGATTAATCCAGTTACACACTATTTCAATTGATTTGGTTTTTTCAAAAGAAAAAGGTTTTCAATTAGTTTTGCAGCAGCCTGAAATAACCTAGCTAATGGTCATTTGCATATTAAAAATGAGAAGTGATGTATTTTTTATCTGAAGTCTTCACCCTATTAACAATATAAATTCATGTATGAAAGAAAATATCCGCTGCAGACACCGGTTAAAATAGAGAAGTATATTTCTGTTAGACCATTTACAAATACGAAGTAATTTTGTACGAGTTGGCAAATGTGCGCCATTCGGCACACCTCTGTCGAGTTAAAGGGTACCGATTTGGGAATTTTCCTAAGCTAAGCCTTTAGAGGTGTTCCGATCACTGTGTCTCTAACATAAACTCAAGAGGTGGTCCGAAAGAATAAATTTTCCATAACAAATACGACTAAATCCAGCGAAGAGACACAAATTTGTTTACCATATTGTACAGATTATTATATGACTGGTGAATCTTGCACTTGTTGCTGTTATGTGACTGGTGAATCTTGAATTTGTTGCCATAAAGCTTTCAACTATTCTTGAGATATAGAAGTGTAAGTCAAGCGATAAAATCATCAATTGTCAAAAAAAAAATTTCGTCTGGCATTTGTACTTCGTTTGCTATCATTTAAGCGGTAATAGCGGGTTCGATATAACCCTATATAAAGCTACATGTATGTAGCTTGAATTATGAATGAAGCTTTAAGATCTCTAATTGCAATATATGCAGATATGTGAGAATTCTGTGGTCAATTTTTTTTCAGAGTGGAACTGTGGAAGTAACTATCCCTATTTCCACATGAATTATTTTTTCTCAATTCCGCAATTTTTTTGTTGATATATTTTCTTTTCCTTACATTTTAGCAAAATACGATTCTTTAACCTTTCAATAATTTATTCTGATGCTAAAAGAAAAGTTTAATCAGTCAACTTTCAAATGATAAGCTGAAAATTTTCAGAATGGGACACTTCTTGAAAAGTAAATAGGTTCAGTATAATCAGAAGATAAGGTCCAAATTATGCAGAATTTCATCACGATATTAAACAAAAAGGTGACGTAGAATTAATGTCTAAAACTGTGTACAAGTAATCAGGCCCTGTCTTTAGCGTATTTTACGGAGACGAGAGGGGGTGGCTTATAAACTTAATAGCTTTATACAATCCTTCAATTATAAATAGTTTGAGCTCTCAGCAGTTTGAAATATTTATAAAAGTTGCGTATAAATTAAAAAGAAAATGATTGATCGATTTCACAATCGAAACTTGATTGACTTTTTGCAGAATATTACGTAAATCAAAACGCAGATTAGGATTCGTCAGAAATGCAACAAAAAAGAATGGAAAATTACATTCAAATGATTTCTAGGCCGTTTTAAAATAACGAGGAAAAGAGAAAAGAATAACTTTTCAGTGCTGTTAATAATTGTTTCTTAATTCGTTACATAAATACATAAAAATTAAATATTATCTGAATACGATTTATAATTCAATTTTATCAAGTAAGCGTCAGGAAGAATAATTTGTTATCACGTCCCTCAGTTCATTAGCCACTGCCAATTTTATTAATGGCATCATTTTTAATAGTATTTATCGGGAATTATGCTCCTAGATAAAAAAAAAACCCTTCTTTACAAACGTTCATTTTACCTGATTGAAAAACATGCGGGCTTAATACGAACTAATTCTTTTTAATAAGTTCGAAGAAAGTCCAAATATGTTCATTCAAATATGTCGAAACAGACTGTCCTTGTTGATGATTCGATGATTCAAAGTGATATAAAGATTCTCAGCCTCTTACAACAGTATGTAGTATTTTTAATTATGGAGCAGAGGTGTGGGGATTTCATAAAGCTCCAGATGTAGAAAAAATACAAAGTCCCTTTTGTAAAAAGTTACTTCGTTTAAAAAAAAGTGCCTGTAACAATCTTGTGTATTTCGAACTTGGAAGAATGCCTATGAGGGAATCTAGAAAATTGAAAATTATAAAATATTTTTTGAAACTAAAGGGGACACAAAATATTCTACTAAAATTATGCTTGGAAGAAAGATTAAGGAATAATGATAGTTGGATCAGAGATATTCAAAATGAACTTAATAAACTGGGACTTGGCTATATATTTGATGCAGATTTCAATGATAATACTTACATGTTAGTAAAACAAAGATTCCTTGAGGTGAATAATCATACTATGATTTCTAATATTTGTAGCAATGCCCGTAGCCCGCTATACCAACATTTGGTTGATAATTTTGGTATACAATATTACTTGCGTAAACCTATTAATTATATGTACAAAATACAAATTGCTAGAATTAGACTATCTGCACATAATCTAAATGTTGAAACTGGTAGATATGTTAAGGTGATTCGAACCTGTCGCCAAAGTAATTGGATTTTTTTTTTAAATGATAAGAATGATAGAAGAGGATTTCCTGACTTGTATAAAGACAATTTCGATATGGGTCAATGAGTTCGTTTCCATGGCAACGACCTCTGAACATGAGAGTGTTGAACCTGCCTGCTGCTGTAAAATAAACAACTCGTAAACAAAATCAAAATTAAAAAATACAAAGATTTTTATTTCAACTGTATTTTTATATCATGGAAATAAAAGATAATGACATTGTCTTTCTCTAAAATAAGTAACAGTATTGAAATACTTGAAGATGTGTAAAAAAAAATAATCCGAATTTCCTCAGACTGCTTTTAAAAAGTCATTTTCAGCATGACTTTAAAATTATAAAATGGCTAAAAATCATGCCAATAGTAATTGGAATTTTTTCTTTTAACTTTCTTTGAATAGCAGTGATACAAGGCTTTAAAACTTGAAAAAAAAAATTGGTAGGTTCATGCGTCGACAAAAAAGATATAATCATCTGTGCTCTGGTCTTGCTCAAATTTTAGCCATTTCAAAAAAATATTTTAATAAATGAATAGATAAACACCAATAAATCTTTAAAGTTTGAATAAAATAATCAATAACATTTTGGAATTTATAAGTTCTGAACATCTGAGATAAAAGTATTCAATGTAAT